CAATATGTAATTTGCATCTGCAGTTGGAGGAAAAGAGAAGATGAAGGAAAAACAGATGATTTTTGGCATAGCTACCAGGATTGATATGATAAACTTCATCACACAGAATCATCCACTTGAGGACCACAAGTAACACAGTCAGCATCAACATGGCACATTTACAGCGATCTGCTTAAAATGGTTCTGTTTAGCAATTAAGTTCTTTTATACAGAAATCGCAAATTGAGATATGACATAATTTCTTTATTCTCCAATTCTTCCATTCCAATGTTAATGTTAATTCCTTTATATTCCTGGATATATTTAGTGGTTGTACAAAAGTTTTGTTAGTACTTAAATTTGTGGATTGGGGAAGGGGGAAGGGGTCCTATCATGTGTTAAAAGAGGATCCTACTGGTTTGATGAAGATCTGTGTTCATAGGGTCTTTAAATTTGTGGATTTCTCAAAGGGTACTGTTGTGGGTTGGGGAAGGGGCCCTGTCAGTTTGATGAAGTATGATTGCTGTTAATAGGGTCTTGGGGAAAGGGTCAAGTCACTTTAATGAATTGGATCTCTGTTTACATGGTCTTTAAATTTGTGGATTGGGGTAGGGGTTCTCTGTCACATTGATGTTGTATGATCTCTGTTAATAGAGTGTAAATTTGTAGATTAGGGAAGGGGTCCTATGAGTTTGATAAAATAAGATTTCTGTTATAGTTTCTTTAAATTTGTTGCATGTGGCAACTACAGTATCCATTAAAATTGGTACTTCATGAAAAGTATGAAAATCACAAAATCGAGAACAGTTAATAGCTATTTAAAAATATTATTGCCCACTCTAATTAAAATTTAGATCTACTTACTGGTAGATCTGGCAGGCATGAATACTAGCTCATGTTTGGATTAACCAATCAGTTTACAGCTTTTGTACTGCTAAAAATAATAAAAAAATTCATTTAGAACAAATATTTGATAACAAGAAATCTCCATACATGTCTGTTAGGCAACAAAGCATATATGGACAGAGATTTCCAAAGGTGATCAAACATAAACGTTTTTGCCTCTCAGATAGCTTTTGTCAGAGATCTTGATTTTAATCAAATCGCATCTTTGCCTGCCTTACAAATGATTCCATAGTTTACTTTTGCCAAGTAAAATTTCTGATGTATCACTGATTTCATATTAGACAGAAAACACTCTACATATACAAACTGTCAGCATTGTTGTGTCATAATACATTTTATTTCTTTTTCTTTTGTTAGAATGGTCTACACAGAAAAAGAAGGGAACTCAATAATTAATGTTTAGAATCAGTTACTGCACAGAAATGAAATGTCCACAGCTTGTATAATTGAATTTTTTATACTGAATTGTCAGATCAGAAATAAATAAGAATTTGTCTGGCTTTTAAGGTATCAAATAATCTTTGTTGAGCCCAACTTGGTGGAAACTTGACATAGTGATTGTTTCATATGTGTACATCTGCATGTATTTATACCCACATGCTAGAATAAGCTCAATATTAAATTTGTTTATTTAGTCAATTTGTCACATACAGTTGGTCCCAGAGTAATGCTACCTCATATTATGTGGATACATTTTGATGTGTGCGTAATTTATGAACAATCCATGTCCAGCTTCTATTCAGCTCCAATGCAGAAAGTATCAGATGCCATTCATTTTATTTCAGTATTGAATGTTTATGGTACATACTGTAATTTTATAATTTAGTATGTGAGCTATCAATTTTAGTGAGTTTGTGTGATAAAGGCTGTAATGAAAATAGTTCACTTTTGTTAAATCAACACTTTTATGCAAGTCGACCTGGTATGATCAGTATGTTATTATGTGACATTTTGCTTAACTGTGTTGTAGCACTATAATCACTGGTAGAGATTGGATATAAAATGAAATGGTTGCAGCTTCAGTCTTTTATTAATAATGAAGAAGATAAAATATTATACAATTTTAAGAACTACAATAAAAACTTTTGTGTAAGAAACTTGAAATTTTTAACAAAGCATGACCTTAAAATTCATGATAACTCTTCCCATTGAGTGCAGAATGACAAGTAATAATCCCTTTGAGCATTAAAACTGTCAGATATGAATATACCTCTTTTTAGAGGATGAGTGATATTCACACAGTATCAGATATTTTTGTTATAGTTATATTTAAGCTTTATGCATAATGTTAAAACATATATAACCCATGTAAAATTATTCAGTCATATATTTTTTATATTTAATTATGTATATGTATGTAATTGTATACAATTGGAGAAACATTAATTATCAAATATTTGAATTCAGGGAAAGTATAATTATATTTGCTATGGTGGAAATTTTAAATTTGGTCGGTTGATGTTTGACTTTTTATGTTCCGCTTTAGAGGGAAAAATGCATATTTTTTAAACATTCTTCAGTGGAGTTTATTTAATAAGTAGTTGTGGTTTTGGTTTTTTAATCATTGTGAAATTCATTATTATTTTATGTATGAATGAATTTGATACACCTATAATTTTGATGATACACTACATCTATGCTTTTATTAAAAATATTATAATGATAGGCTACAGCTATTATTCTAATAATACACTACATGTGTGCTTCTAATTAAAGATTACATCTGTGTTTCTAATTGTATTTTACATCTTTGATGCTAATTGTGAACTAAATTTATGATTCCAATTATAGGTTACACCTGTGATTCCAATTTTATACTTCATGTCTGATTTTACCACTCTGGTGGCATAAGTGGTTAGAGCATCCACTCAGATGCTGGAGGTCATGGGTTTGATTCCCAGCCAAATCATACCAATGACTTACAAAAATGGTACTAGTAGCTACCTGGCTTGGTGCTCAGCAAATTGAGATTAGTTTCAGGACTGGTCAACTTGGTGTCAAGATGATATGAATGGGTGGAACAGGATGCTACGTGTTTGTGGTATGATGCCCCAGTGACAGACATTACTATAGACTGCCACTCTGCAGACATTGTAGTGATATGACTAAAATTGTTTAAAAGCTACCTTAATAATTTAATCACAAACAAATCACACATATGATTCTAATACATTATATATTACACCAATGATTTGAACTATGCACTATACATTATTCTTTACCTGTGATTCTAATTAAGCACAATGTCTGTGGTTCTAATTATTGACCAGTAATAATTGATAATAAACTCAGATTTAGCAAATTTTGGAATATATGTAGGCACAAATTTATGATCAAGTGATTATGAAATTAATCTAAATTTATCTGCTCATATTAAAATTCATTTTTAAAGACAAAATTTTAACTGGCTATTTGAGGTTCATTATAAATGTGTTTTTGAGTCTTTCACTTTAGTGGACATCCTTTTCTTGTTCAAGATTTATACTGATTAAATTTATTTTTAGTTTGTAAATTTCTTAACCCAACAATTTAAGCCATTTCCTTGACAAAAGAACGTAATTGCTCAAATGTATCTACTTGCTTATATATACTCATTCATGTTTGTTTTTGCAATTGTTCTAACAATAAATGGATGTTATATATATATATATATATATATATATATATATATATATATATATATATATATATATATATATATATATGGAATTACAGGATTCATGTTACTGTGGCAAAGTTGTTCCATATGGTAGTTGTACCTGGTTCACCTCTGTAATTGACTGCAGCTGAAACCAGTTAAATCTCGTTTTGCTTTATTTTTCTTTTGTTTTTTTTTTATTATTATTTATATTTTTGGGGTTTTTATTAAAAAGTTTTGTAATTGACATTTGCTATACAATTTTATTTCTTTATTGGTATAGTACCTGTTGTGTTGTGGGATTATTTTTGCAACTGATTTTGTTTTCTTCAGTTTACTTTTGTTATTCATTTTATAGAAGATCAGTGAAGAATCTCACTTGTTCCCAGTCATGCTGGGGTTTTTTTCTCTTTCATTAATATATCACTTATGCCATAAAGCATTTAGTGTTCTTTTATGCTAAGAAACAGTTGGATGTTTGTTGGCTTCATTGACATAATTAAATGAATTTGTAGCAGCTCTATAGCAGGTCTTCAATGATATTTAGACTGTATCCATGTCTACATTTTTGAACTGGGCTGTCTGATATTTAGACTGTATCCGTGTTTACATTTTTGAACTGGGCTGTCTGAGAAAAAAGATCTGGTCAAGTGCTCAAACACATAGCTGTAACATTAAAAAAAACAACATATTTTAAAATTTTTATTGCTTTATTGTCATATAACATCAATATCATTCACATGATATTTTGGTTTATAATTTGTTTTTATTTGTATATGCTGTTCTTTTCCCAATATGTTCAGTCCATCATAGCTGGAAGATCCCTCTACTTAGTTCATCTCTAATTATGGTAGACAAAAAACAATTACACTAAACTTGCACAAGTTTCTCTTAACAAAGACAGTATTTATACCGATCAAAATAAATCATGTATGGGGACCTTTCATGTCTTTAAGTATTCACAAATTTTGCTGTGTAATTTTTTCATAGGCAATTTTGGTAGATTTATTGGTTTTATATGAGGTGAAATTTTTGCTACTTATTAAAAACCAAGATCATGAAATTAAAATGATCTAAAAATTCTCATATAAAATAGAGAAACTTGCTTGTAACTATGAAGATTTCTTCCTATTTTAGCATTTTTAATGGACAGTATCATATTATATACATGTATGTTAATGTTTCTCTGTTTTGCTTTGTAAATTGCATTGATATTAAGTCATATTTTCATATTTAGTTCACTCTATGAAGTAAGAGGACCATTCCACTTAGCCCCCCCTTCATGTCAGCATTGGCAACAGTCGGCTTGTTTACTAGATTGTACACAAGTACAGCTTTACTGCATCTTAACCCACTTTCTTCCTAAGTCCAAGGCAACAGTATGGTGGTTTCATTTTACCTTTCCTGCTATACAATAAACAATGTTTATAGCTATATAAAGCAACAATATTAAACTATTTAGACCTATATCTTGTTTGACTAACCGCTCTGGTGGCCTAGTGGTTAGAGTGTCCGCTTCAGATGTGTAAGGTCGTGGGTTCGAACCCCGGCTGAGTCATACCAAAGACTTTAAAAAATGGTACTAACAACTGCCTCGCTTGGCGCTCAACATTAAGAGGTTAGTGTTAGGAATAGTTCGCCTGGTGTCAGGATAATGTGACTGGGTGGGACATCATGCTTCATATTTGTGGCATGATGCACCAGTGCTGGACATCACTATAAACTGTCACACTGCAGACATCGTAGTGATATGACTGAAAAATTGTTAAAGCTACGTTAAAAATCTAAATCACATACACACCTGCTTAGGGTAGGGGCTAATGCTATAGATCATTGGTACATTCATACCAAAGTTTTCTTCTTGGGTCTAAGGCCAAAAAATAGTATGTTATTACAAAACAGGTCATTGTCATCTATATTTCATGTTTCACTAACCGATGTTTGTGTTTCAAGTTTATTTCTCAAGCACAGTTCATGCCAGAATCTTTAAATTAGACAATTGTATGCATCTCTGTTAGTACATCTTTACAGCTAAATGTTACTGCAACCTATATTTCATTTTACAAGTTTAGGTTAAGTTTATATGTTTAGCTCATGTACATGCTGTGTACAGACCATATCTGGAATCAAAAAACCTGGTGAGGGGAGACATCTTGATTAGCACAACACATGCATTGCAAAAATAGGTCATTATGGCCTTTATTCTTCACATTTTTTTTATCTGGGTTAAATTTTCATTGCACAGAGACTTTCCATGCTGATATTATTAAAACAATGATGCTTTTTCTCTATTAGTATCTCACGTGCACATTTAATCTTTTGGTCCTGACCAAGACCACATTTTTGGAATGATGGAATGATACTACTAAAATCATGAAACTTGGTGAGGGCATGCATCTTTTGAAGTACTACATTCTTATTGCAAAAAAGCAGGTCTTTGTGACCTATTTTTAATGCTTCAGGACGTTTTTGACATTTTGCATTTCAATTTTATTTTTGGTGTGCTCTTTATCTTAGAATCATAATAGCTCTAGTAAGAAAGGTAATTGATTATACTAGCAATACTGTGTTAGTAGGAAAGGTAATTGATTGTACTAGTAATACTGGTTTAGTAGGAAAGCTAATTGATTATACTAGCAATACTGTGTTAGTAGGAAAGGTAATTTATTGTAGTAGTAATACTGGTTTAGTAGGAAAGGTAATTGATTATACTAGCAATACTGTGTTAGTAGGAAAGGTAATTGATTATACTAGTAATATTGCCTTTCACTCCCAGACTTTCTGCCCAGTAAAGTCTGGTTTCCTGAAGTGGACAATAAGAGCAGCTTCTGAAGCAATACTTATGAACAATCTGACAAGCAAAAACACCTCATCTGGTTTTTATCAACTTGTAATTCATCTGCTTTGGTATCACTAAAAAGAATGTTCTTATTTAATGTTGTACATTCTGTTGTCATGTTGTAGGGGCCAACATTTTCCAGGTTAGATTCACTTTAATCTTAATTTATTTTCTGTATTTGGATGCAGAGTTGTATAAAGTGCTTACCACTTCATGTCCCTGCCATCTTACCTCTGTATGGGTTGGAGTCTCGGGCCTGGCCTGTGTGTGTACTTGAGAAAGCTTACCAGTAACTTCCTAAGTGTTGGTGGGGTTTTTTTCCAGGGTTTTCCTGGGTCTTCCTCCACAACTTAAACTGGCTGCCATGTATAGCTTATCTTGTGCTGAAAAATGTTGTTAAACACTGTGATGACATTTTCTGCTTGGTAATTAATGTTTACCTGGATGACAGAGACTCGCCAAAGCTTCATAGAGATGAGCTGTGTAATTGTTAGGGTGTTTAGTTTGCTTTGGCTTGAAATGTAATATTTTAGGGATTTAATTTAACTGAACTGAATAGTGTAGCTGTTGAAAGTGATGTATAAAAGTGAGATTGGTTTTATTTTGTGTTTACTGTAACATTAAGATGCAAATGTTAGAGTCAAGACAATAGGAGGAGTGCGATTTGTCAGGGATATACCATTGCTGCAGACCTGAGGTGATGTTATGGAAAGATTTGAACACACCCTCCTGGTTTTAATTCAAGCATGCTGACCACATAGCTACCATGACTGTCCTAAGTGGAATAAATATCTTGTGGAAATGTTTTTGATTTAATTTTATATATAGTAGGTAATAATATAGTGTGCTAAAGCTTCATTTTAATAAAAAAAACCTTATTAAGTATGATTTTTATTCTTATTTATCACATACTCCTCAATTTAAATTTAATTATATATGTAATGTATGTATATATATATATATATATATATATATATATATATATATATATATATATATATATATATATATATGCATGTGTGTGTATATATATATGCATGTGTGTGTATATATATATGCATGCGTGTGTGTGTGTATATATATATATATATATATATACACACACATGCATATATATATATGCATGTGTGTATGTATATATGTATATATATGCATGTGTGTGTGTGTGTGTATATATATATATATATATATATATATATATATATATATATATATATATACATCTCTATATCTGTATGTATTTATAGGAACCTATTGTGTTGTTTGTCAAGATCCTCAATGGATCATTGTTCTTTCCAAGGTCAGTAAGATGACCTTGGAGTCTGATAATATCAGCTGCATGTTTTTCTCCATATTTCACCTCCTACACATAAGAGTTGGTACAGTATTCACATCAAATGTTTAAAACCTGGCGGGGGTCATGTAAAGCCAGTCAGGTTATAACAATTTATATGCTTTGGAGGGGAAAGTATTGTTACCTATGATTGTGTATCTTCTCATCCACTCTGTCCATCTATAATGAATGTACTTTCCTCTCTGAACTGAACCAAATTGTTTAAATGCATGGGTTTATAATAAGGGGTCAAGTTCAATATGGAACACTAAGCAAAAAATATACAATTATAAATTTGGTCACTTACAAATTGTCATCTTGTAAGACAACTAATGTCACACTGACTAATGTTAAGTTGTAATAGTGTCTGTAAATTAAGCAATTTCTCATGCACCATCAATCCACAGCAATAAAAAAATTTTGATATTTGCTTACAACAACTTTCTTCAACTCTGTTCAGTTTTGTACCGTTAAATGGGCTGAGCAGTTATTTACTTTTACCTGTAGATATAAACATTAATATATTCGTAAAAACATTTATGAAAATTCACAGAAACACTTAAGAATTTTTAGTAAATAAATGTAAAATACAACTTCATGACAGTAATGTTATTCTATTTATATGATGGTAACTTTTATATAGATATAGCCTTATGTTCTCAATATTGGTGCTATTACCAGGAATGTGTAAAACGAGAACATTTTATTTTATTACACAAGTTTAATACAGGCAAATATATTTGGACCTTCTCAAAGTCCATGCATACACTGAAGTATTTCCATGCAAGTATGACATCTTTATTATACATCTTATCCATATCTCAAACGTAAACATTAAATATGTTGGGTTATATAAATATTGATATTGGTTGAAATTGTGAAGAAAAAATTCAAATACATCTTTTTATTTCATAACAGATTATACTTGCCATTAAATACCAGATTTACCCAAAATATTACAAATACTCTGCAATATGAAACTTGCCATAACAGACACCTTCATGTAAAAGGCCACCAGTTCATAAATGACAACAGTAAATACCCTCTTTTTTGTCTTGCCTGCAAAGGCAGGTAAGACATAAATCACAATGTCCATCCATCAGTCTGTCGATCTCCAAGCATCAACTTTAAGTTTTAATATGTTTTAAGAGCAGTGTTTTCATCAGGGTATAAACATCATACTCTGTAAGAGCAGCTTAACTGCATGGTTTTGTGGAGGACCAGTTTTTGAATCTGGCAATACTATATATAATTGTGATTGATTAATTCATAGAAGAATTACCATAACATCAATGACAGCCATGCTTTAAGGACACCTTAAGTCTTCTTGTTAAAACCCAATTTTAATATGGCTTTACATTTTGGAGGAATAACAATGATGTTTTCAAGATGACCACCATAATATATTTTGGGATATTTGACTGGCACCTTTCCATTTAGAATCTACCAGACATCATGAGAAAACTATTTAATGAAAGCGAAATGTCAATATAACCAGCCATCTTGGAGAAGTAGTGATAAAAAGATTTTCAAGATAACCATTTTGGTGGTGATATTAGAGGTCAGATTGCCAAAATTTACAAAATGAACTACATATCATAGTAAGTCTGACTGAAAACTCAATGTTATCTGATCATCCATTCCATAAGGGTATTGACCAGATGTTCAAGATGGCTGGTCTGTATGCCTTAAAGTATCATTATCATGTAGGGTCAACCAGCTGTCTTGTAAGATATTTCAATAAATTCCATGCTAACATAACATTTTGTTAAGGGATAGTAATAGGATTTTCAAGATGGCTGCTGTAGTGGCCATACTGGCACCATTTCCATTCAGGACCAACTAGACAACATAAAAATTTCAGTGAAATCCCAATGTTCATGTGACCATCCAGAGGAATAGCAACAATATGATTTTCAAGTTGGCCACTTTGGTGGCCATAGTGGATGTCCATGAACCATATTCATTTAGGACCAGCTAGATCATAGGATACAAATGTGTGTGTGTCAAGTTTCATGGAAACCCTCTAGTAGATTGGGAGGAGTAGCAATAACAATCTTGTGCTACAGACAGACAAATGGTGGACAACAGACCATCCAATAAACTCTTTTCATTTATAAACAAACTAAAAAATGAGATTTATAACAATGAAAAACTCAAACAATCAGATAACATGTTGTTGGACCTTGAAAACTCTGTCCCAATTACTTAATTTAAACTAAATGGTATAGTAAACCTGCACATCATGTAGGCTATACAGGAAGTTTTGTCTAAGAACTAAATGAAACAAAGTTCTTACTGGCATGCCCAGTGTACAATCCAAACATAACCCTAGGAATATAGCAATAAACACATCACTAGTGAACAATATACTTGTAACAACTAC